TTGTGAGTTGGTTTGTAGGTGCTAAAGTAGATGTGATTAAGGCTGAGGCAGAAATAGAAATGATAGATCGATTTGGTAAAAAAAAACATCATTACTTTTGAAAATATCCTTGTCCTTGCATAACTCAGTTAATTTTGTAAATTCTAATAATCCTTTTTGATAGATGAGAGAAATATTCTTCATAACAAGGTCTTTTTGTCTAACAATCTCATCTTCAATATAATTACATAGTTCACTTAGACAGAGTTTATGTGCACCCTACAAAAGAAAAATAATGTCAGAAAAATCAACGCTGGTGATGTCAATAGTACCATCATAAATATATCTAAAAAAAAAAAAAATTGTTTGAAATCACTGAATGATACTTTTAATATCAATTTTACTCTTTAATTATTACCGGTAATAATAGTATTTCATATGCACAAATTACTATTAAAATTTAAAATCTTTATTTCCTCCATAGCTAACTATTTTTTTTTACTAAGCTAATATACTTTAATTAAAATATAAAAAAACATTTTTATATATAGTGTAAAAAAGCTATATGTTATATTTTGTACTATTATTATATAGAATTTTCTTAATGTGTGAGAGAAACAAACTTCAAAACTATATAAAAACATAGTAATTTGTGCTATATAATAATACTACTGTAAATTGTTAATTAAAATTTTTTTTACCTAAAAAAAATTCCGAATAATTTAGGAGTAATATTAGGTTTATCAAATAATAGCACCTTGGTAGACATTTTATAAAAAATTAAATCTAACTATACATATGTACATAATTTTATATTTGTACAATCATATAAATTTTTATGAAAATCTGAAATTACTGCAGATTACTGCAGATAATAGACAGTTTTCTCTCTAATTGGTATAATAATTGTGGGAATTATGCTGAAAATGGATTTTGCTGAAAATTAAGGTCTCTTTTTAAATCTATAAAACCTATTAAAATTCACATAATTTTTTATTAATAAACAATTATTATAAAACATACCTATAGTGTTTTACCACCATATATAATTGTATTTAATAAAATTTAGGATTAGGGTTCAGGTATTAAGAATTATTATTTTTTTTTTATAATATAATATAGAGCTAATATAAGGCCCAATCTCAGTTTTCGTGAGGTTTTTAGGGGTTTTGAACATTTTTACTTAGAGTACCTGATCCCTTTACTTAGTATGTTTTTAAGAAATAGGGTCCTAGGTGGTAAAACATCATAGTAAAAGTGTCAATAAATGTCGGGGATGATACTGAATTCGGATGATGCTGAAATTTTGAGCTATTTTATTATAAAATTTTAAAAAAATTTTGGGCCTTTTTTTTAGGGTTTTTTTTAGGGCTAGGTTAGGGTTTAGGGTTAGTGTTGTTAGTAAAAATGTATATGTGAATTTTAATAGGTATTATAGATTTAAATGGGGACTCTAAATTTAAGCATTAGCCAATTTCAGCATCATCCCTGACAATAAATAGTCACTGCAGATCCTCGATTTTGATTGGCTGACGGCTGAGGATCTTCAAAATTTTGGCCCACATTACATAATTGTTACTAATTTCTAGCCGGAATTAATTTTTCATTATAAAAATAGAAATTTTAAAAATAAGCACCATTATTGTAAAATTGGCCCAGGAACAATTTTTACTTAATTGGCAGCTGTATTTCATTAGTAAAATTATGAGTAATTTGGGCTTAATTTTTTGATCGTCGTTTTAGCCAATCAAAATCGAGAATCTGCGCAACAGATGTCACTCGAGTGACAATTTTTATGCAACTAATAAAATACCAACCCTAACCTATGCAATGTTGGGTGCCGAGATAATAAAATACACTCTTCGTTGAGTCAGTATATATTCGAAGTATGGTGTCAGGTAAAGTGGTCATATTATTTGCTGAAATAAAATACCTGTGTTTAAGAAATTTTATTTTTGATTTATAACTTGACATAATACTAGCCAGAATTTATAAAACTATAGTTAACTATCATAACAAAAACCATTTAAAAAACTTATAATAAGGATCATTTAGACTACATGCTATATTATCACCATAAATCCTGTGATAATTGATTCAGTCTCTCAGTAATTGTCAACCGACTTTGTACAAGATTTGTAAAAAAAATTGGCATTTTTAACTGGTTTAATTAATCTTTAATTTTATAATACAATTCCATTGCTTTTGCATGTCCTTTTTCAGCAGCCTGCCGTAACCATTTATTAAATTGCTTAGCATATTCTAAATTTAGATCAGTATCTTCTTCTGTAATTCCTTGTTTATTAATATACAAGAGACTCAAAAAATATTCAGCTTCTGGGTATAATCCCAAATCGGCTAGTTTTAGAAGAATTGAAAATATTTCTTCATCATCTTTTTTTTTGTTTTGACTATATTTTTTAATACAAATCTTAAGAATAGAGTTCAACTGTTCAGGGTTGCTAATATTTACAAGTTCAGGAGAAGTAGAGACATGTGTAAAGTACTTATAATCTTCCATTTTTTTTATCTTTTTTTTTGAAAAAATCCTTTAGTTTTCTTTATATATACTTTCAAACAATTATAAGTTTATTATCAATATTATTCTAAAGAACAATTGAACCACCATTTTTTAATGAAAGAATACAGTAATACTTTAATTAATTTTTATTAAATGTAAGAAAAAAATCAATTTTTGTCTGCATTGTTAATTTAACATTTCAATTTAAGTAATTATTGCAATAATTTGGCTCTTTATCACATGACATAACGGACCCATAAGTTCGTTATGTCATATGATTATAACTCCAACTAAGAAAATTCATTAAATTTACAATAATATTGTAATGTTAATTCAATTATTAAAATAACATTACAATATTATTGTCAAATTATTTATAGAAAAATTGATTTATCAAATCGATGTTTGTATTTGAAGTAAAATTATAACCAAAGAATTAATTGATAGGTATTCTCTATTACGATGAAATAATCCACTTTGTAGATATACTTTTTACAATTTCCAAAAAAAAAAGAATTAATTCTTCATAAATTTTATAAATTTTAAATGCGACAATATATCTATAAGAATATATACTATTTATTTAAACAAAGATAATAATTTGGAATTTTGGATTTAATCATATCATATGATTGGTGTTTAAAACTTTGTGTCAAGTGATCTGTAACTTTATTTAATAAAATTGTTGAAAATTAATCAAAAATGCAGAAGCATTTCATTTTCATGCAGACAAAATAATTAATTCTGAAGAAAATTCTTTATAATATTTATTGATAAGCATTATTAATTAAAATTTTATTCTTTAGTTCCTACATAAGATTAAATTCTATCTTATAAGTAACAAAGTAATCTTTATATCTTTCAAATTCATATTTTAAATTACATTTTATATTTCTAACATGACAAAGATCAATTATTTCTTTCTCACTGTCTTTTTGTTTTTCTACATCGCAATTTTCTGATCTCACTAATTCTATATATCTTAGATTTTTGGCTTTTTCAACAAATTTTCTTAAATTTGGAAGTAGATCAAACTCAATATTAAAAGGTAATATAAGAACTTCTAACTTAACCCTTTCTACATCAAAATCTTGTAAAAAACGATCCAAGTTTTCATGACTATAATCATGAACATTAAGTAAGTTAAGAACTTTTAAAGAGCTAGGCAAATATCTAACTAAGGCTTGCAAGTAATCTTGATTACTATAAGGAAGATCATAATAAGCAAATCCTCCTATTTGAAGTTGACAAAGTTTTTTAAATATTTTAAGTGTTGAAGAGAATATAAGATTGTCAGTTATATAACATAAAGTAGTCATGTTTGGACAATTTTGACTAAGCAACAAAATAAATTCCTCTTTTACTTCATTACTTAACTCTCTCTCTTTTATTCTAAAAAATTTTAGTGATTCGCATTTTGAATTTAGCATAATTCTATTTAATTCTATTTCATTATCTTCTAATTCCAGTCTTTGAAGATTATGTAAATTATTTTTGCCTTCACCAAAAGGATTTCCAAATGAACACTTTATTGATAAAATCTCTAAGTTTGGTGCAATATTTGTAAGATTATCTTTGTCAAACTTGATTCCTTGTAAAATTAGTTTTCTAAGGCTTTGAGATTTTGTTTGCAGCATTTCTTGTCGTAACAAAGGTGTAAAGCTAGAAGTGCTAAAATAATTCAACTCAAGTTCTTTGAGTTCAGTTTGAGCACTAATTAAATTTAAGAATGGTTCTCGACATTCTGGTGGTATATCTTCATTATAAGCCATAATACGAATGATTTGAATTCTTTTGTTCATTATAGAAATTAAGTTAATATAATTATATACAATCATGTTTTGACTATCTGAAACAACAAATTTAAATTCGCATTCTCTCAATTCTGAAGAATAGAACCATGAGCTGGGAATTAAAAGAAATGTTGAGCTATCTTCAGCCAATGAAATGTAGAATTTCTTGATTCTCTGACATCTTCGAAACAACATGCTTTGGATAGCCATAAAGGTTGATGTTTCTAAACTAGGCTTAGATATATCCTGAGTATATTGATACCACAATGAGGTGACATTTTGTATCTTGGAGCTAGAATAAGTCTCTAGAAAGTCAGCATAATTAAATAAAGTTTTTTGGAAAATATGTGTACATGATAGATCGACCTGATACGCGCTTGAAGTCAATTGGTGCCTTTTATTTTCATCAAGATAAATAAGAAAAATAGATATAACATTTATCGAACCTTTATTTATATTATAGAAAGGGTTAGCCCATAACAGAGGCACAGTAAAGCGACAAAATAAGCAATTAACTAAGAGGCAGCTATATAAAGTGTGGTGATCATATTCAAAGTTTTTGATAATTTCTAAATAACAATCGTCTGTTAATTTTGTTAATTTCATTTTGATATATATTTTAATACAGTATATAGGAAATGCGACAGGATGATAGATTTATATAAAATACAATGTTATTCAAAATAACGATCATTTAATTGTTACAATATGTGTAATTAAATTTTTTTCAATGCTATTGCACAATACAGTAAATTGGATTTTCTTTAATTTAAATATTAATTATTTAAATTACAACGGATTGAACCGATCTGAATAGTATGTATAATACCAGGGTTGGCACGGACCGGTCAATGGTCAAGCTTGACCAGACCAGTTTGACCAATTTGACCAGTTGGTCAAAGGGTT